ATTCCTCCATTTGGGTACCGTTATCCACTACCATTTTTGTACCACTATGCATTGGCTGAATTAGTGTCAAGTTTAAAATGTTTTATAGAGGGTTCCCAAGCTATAGTGGTCTAATTTGGTTTTCTTGTGGCCTAGGTGGGGCAATTTTCTTGAAATTGAAGGGATAATATCATGCCAGACCCTCCCCACGATATCTTTTCAACTTGCGGTGAGTGCATCATAAACTTGTATGGGGAGATTAGGGTCTCTGTCGCCTTTATGTCAGTTGGTGGCAATTTAGATTTTGTGCTAATGTTTCATTTCATGTGTCAAGTTTGCATACTTCTGACAAGACTATCAAAATGTGCAAAGAACTTATTTAATCTTCAACTTTGCGCTTCTATTTTGGGAGCACTGTGCGCTTCAATTTTGTACCACTATGCGTTGGCTGGGTTAGTATCAGATTTGAAGTGTTCCATGATGTGTTCCCAAGCTGCAGGGGCCTCATTTGGTTTCCTTGTGGCCTAGGTGGTGCAATTTTCTTGAAATTGAAGGGCAATATCATTTCAGACCCTCCCCCTGATATCTTTTCTCTTTGCGGTGAGTGTCTGAAAAATGTTTATGGGGAGATTCGGGTCTCTGTCACCTTTATGTCAGTTGAAGGCCATTTAGATGTTGTGCCAATATTTTATATTTTGGTGGCTCAAGTTTGCATACTTTTGGCAAGATTATCAAGATTTGCAAAGAACATATTTAATCTTCAACTTTTCGCTTCCATTTTGGGAGCACTGCGCGCTTCCATTTTGGGAGCACTGTGCGCTTCTATTTTGGCACCGTTATCCGCTTCCATTCTTGTACCACTATGCATTGTCTGAGCTAGTACAAAAATTGAAGTGTTCCAAGGGGTGTTCGCAAGCTCCAGGGGGTCTACTTTGGTTTTCTTGTGGCCTAGGTGGGGCAATTTTCTTGAAATTCAAGCGCAATATCACGTCAGACCCTCTCCCTGATATCCTTGAGGGCCTTTTAGATTTTGTGCTAATATGTTATTTTCTGTGGCTCAAGTTTGCATGCTGTTGACAAGATTATCAAGATTTGCAAAGAACATATTTAATCTTCAACTTTGCGCTTCCATTTTGGGAGCACTGTGCGCTTCCATTCTTGATACCACTATGTGCTTTCATTTTGGGAGCACTATTGGAAAACACACATCATCCAAATGTCGGTTGAAATTGGTTCAAAAAAATTGTAGACTATGGGGAAGCTGCGCCCCATCTAGACTTTGGTTGAGAATTTTTCCCCAAATGAACAATCAACAGTCACTGTTACTAACACATTTACAAATTAAGTCTACATGATCAGCGGCTACATTCAAATATGATCAAATATCTGATAGTCATAAGCGCAATGATATGGTTTTGAGCCTTTGCTCCAAAAAACATGCAAAACGTATGAAGCCCTACGTCAAGTTACGTAAGATAGGGTGAGATCTTAATTATTTACCACCCCCTGTTTTATATACGTTTTAGATTTAAGGCCCCAAACGCGAGGAATGTGGAGAGGGCTGGAGAATTTCAGACCCCAAATAAGAAGTTGAGGTCGGTTCCACCTATTGATTTTTTTTACGAATATGATCCCGGACCCCTTTTTGGGAGGGGTCTATTATTGTAGTAAAATTGGTGATACTTGGATATATGTTGAGGTCTGGAATCATCAGGTTTTGGGGACTAATATCTCAGACCCTTTAGTAGTTGAGGGCATCCTCATCGCAGACACAATTTACAGCCTCCTTTCACACAACTGTCCGCCATTCTCAGGCTCCGACTCCCTTGTTCGAGGCTGTTGCACGCAGAACCACAACTAATCCAACACTGAACGGCTGCAGGACCAATCGGAGTCGGTCAATTTCCTGCTGTCTTAGCTTTCTTCTACTGACACAAATCAACTTCAGTGTGCATGACACCATCTACTGCTTGTATTGTTCTGCTTCTTCTTTCCTATCCGCTCCTTCTCTCCCTGGCCTATAGGTCCACAGCTTCGATGGCGACGTTCCGGACTCCACCATGGCCTGCCGGATTGCACTGATCCTTGCTTTTACAGTAAATCATGTCATCCCAGGACATTACTCCTCTTCCCAGCGACGCCACCTTGGAAAAATTATGAAAAATTCAACCCCTCACACTCCCATTCGACATTTATCACACTCCTCTTTATCAACTTGTCTCCATCACACTCCCCTCTTACCTTTCGAGTGGCAGGCGCGGCGCTTAGTGATCCTCTGTAGACTGTCTGAGTCTGGGCGCCGGGACGCCGCTGCTGGGCGCTGTTTGTGCCACAATTTGCACTCGAAAACCATGCACTGAGCGGAGCGTGCATTTCCCGGACGCCCGAACCATGTCAACCAGAAGCCCGCTGCTGCTTCAGGCCGTGCAAGCTAGAAACCTCGACTGCCAGCAAATGGTGCAAAAGGCAGCCCTCACTGCTGAGAAACCGGGCCAGCAGTGCTTCGAGCGCGCACGTCCCGCAGACCTGCAACATGTCAAGCAGAAGCCCATCACTGCTTCAGGCCGTGCATGCTAGAATGTCAAAACCAAACCTGCCAGACTTTGACAAGGACCATAGACAGCTATTTGACCCAGACTGGACATCCTGAAACCCACCTGGGCTGCAACTAGTTCAAAAAAAACTCCAGGGTCAAAAAAACTACCATATATATATGTGATGGTTGATCAAAATTCCTTTATCCGGGAACGGCCATTCTTCGCGAACAAAGAATTATCGTTCGCGAATCTTTCGCGAACTCCAGGTTTATCTGTCGCGGAACCCATGTTGAGCAACAGCTCCTCTTATGAAGATTCATTCATCACCTGCTAAGTCACGAAGTCACAAAATTATCACAGATAACTTCTTCATAGACAGGTTGTTGCTGATTAGGCAATTTTTTGCAAGGCTCACTGCGCTCCCTTCAAAATGCACTTTGACTTTCGCCCACTCTTTCGCGGAACTTTCGCGAAAATGCCCCTATCCGCAGACATCAGCAGGGGAAGCTTGGCTGCTGCATTTGGAGCTTGTTTCTTGAGACTTCAGAAAGCAACGTTAGGCAGTACCAGCGGCAGTGCAAGGATATGCTTCGAGACCATGGTATTTGGCTGTGGCCAAGCCGTGGCGAAGCCTCACCTTCAGAAGCTTGGCTGCTACCTATGCTGCGGTACCATTCTCCTGCCGGACCCCGGGCGGCAGGAGATGGTAGCCCTTAACAAGCTGTAATGTATACAATGATTCATAATATCCAACTTTCGCGAAACTTTCGCGAATAAAAAAAAAAATCTTTCGCAAACTCGGAAAAAAACTTTCGCGAGGGTTTCCAACATAACACGTACGGCTTTCGCAATTAAACCTCCTTACAAGGACCTTTAGATCGACTGCCATATACATATATATATATTGAATAATTCAAAGGATTGTGATTGAGCCTTTGCGGGACCCTATCTTCAGACACACCCATGTCCATGCTGAGACAAGCGGAACCTTCCCTCTGAAAATCCTGCACCTTAATCTCTCCGCAAGACCCTTTCGAAGCAAAGAGACAAAATGGTGAAAGATCAAGCACATCAACAGGCATATGGTGGTCTCTCTTCGTATTTAAGCATCCATTTGGGGGACATATAACTTGGATCTGTTCTTAAAGGGGTATGATGGAAAAACCTCTGCAAAATCATGCACTGTGTCTTGCGGTTCTCATTCTCATGCCTTGGTCTTGGAAGTGCATGGTTGCAACGGGGCAATGCATCAGGCTCAAACGGCATCCTACGATTTCACAAAGACCAGGTCCTCCTCAGTATGAGCACCATCGCGACAGCCGGTCATGCCTTCAACCGGCAACGAAGTTTTGAATCGCGTGTCGCAGGCAACGTTTGTTTGGCAGGCAAAATTTGCTTGGTCGGCTGTGGTCTGGTGCCTCTTCAAAATCAAGACTTCAAGGAGAATGATTACCATGCCATGCCATGTCAATTGCCTGGTTCAACTTAACGATATATCCAGTGCTAGTAGCTGTTAGTAGGTGGGTAGATCAGCCAACACAGCAAGTCAAGTTGGGTTGAATCTTAAGTTTTCTCTTGATTTGTACTCGAAGTCTTGCCAAGACAAGTTTCAAAACTGATTAAAAAGACACAAAGCCTGATGAGGCTGTTTGAAACGGGGTTTGCATAAATCAGCACAAACTTCAAAATTGCTTTGGGCCCATTTGATTGACAAAACAAGAAAGACAAAAAAGAAAAACAAGAAAACAACACTAAAGAATGATCCGAACCATTCCTGTCACTGCAGAAGCAAAGCACAAATGGGCTCAAAAAGAGGTGTAAGATCCTCCTGCATTTGGATGTGCTTTCGATTGATGTGAAGTGTTCAAAAGCGACAAGCGCTAAACTGCCACGGACATGCTGTCACATGCAATCTTGAAATATAGTACGATAACCCCCACACTGGCCAAAATGTGTTCGAACTTAGCTTGTCCACACGGCAACGTGGCAGACAAAGGTATCGGTATCAGACATGCTTTGTCCAAGGCGCCATTGAATAAACAACATAAAGCTCGAATTCAATTGAATTTCTGGGGCAATAGGTCAAAATTGGGTCTAGCAATGAAAACCAATGTTCAAGATTGAAGAGAATACAAACAGCACAAATCTGCTTCTTTTGGAAGGCGTGCATTTTGACCTGCTGCCCTATCGTTTCGTAAGGAGAGCTGCTGAAAGCAGACAGTCCAAGTCCAAGTTTGGGCTGTGAGCCCGGTACCAGCACGCTGCCCCGAGCTTCAACCAGCCGCTCCCTGAGCTGTCACCAGACATGGCATCAACAAGCGTGCAAATGATGCACGATTATCCTTTGCTCAATAGGGACTCAAAATCGAACACAATCCATATCGCGAGGTCAAAGGAAACAATACATGCCCTGTAAAGATAGTCGTGCAACAAAGTCTGAGTCTATTGCCTAGCGCTGCCTGTGTCTTTCAGCACTGGCTGAGTTCAAGACTCCAAAATTTTGGCTGTTTCGCGTAAGTTATTGAGCTCAATGGCTATTAGCTTTGGAAAACGGCCACGGAGGGTCGAGCAAATCAAGCTGACCAAATTGGCCAGACTCATTTGCTCCAAGACATATCGAATCTTGCGCGGAGTCCTTTGGACCGTGGTGCCCCCTGTCGCTCGGACAACAATTTCACTCTCCAGCAGCTGAAGCACTCGACAAGCTCCAGGAAGTTCGCTCGCCTTTGTGGGCTCAACCAGAGCGGCCCCGGACTTTCGTTTGCCTAACTACAGCCATCTATACCTTTGTCTTTACTCCTTTCCTTACGCCCCAGGCCTCCACCGTTTTGCGCACATATGGCAAAATCATCTCCAAGAAGGTCACCGGTGGAAGGAGTTTCAAGAAGTCTCGTTGCTGCTTGTCGAAGGAAGGAACGCGAGCTTCCTGATTGCGGGAGCACCCATGTAGGAGCATCCAGATTGTGAAGAGTTTGGGGGAACATCCAAGCTGTTCCCAATGGATCCCAAGAAGGCCCTAGTACAGCGAACCCACCTTGAAAGATCTTGAAAGGTCAACGAAACAAAGCCTCGTACATTCAAAATGTACACTTCTGCGCGTTCGAGTGATTTCCTTTATGTCTACAAGACAAATCAGATTACATCAGCTTACAGCCGGCATAAACTGAACTTTTGCTAAGCATCGTGAGCCAAATGGCAGAAACCACAATCTGCGCCCTTTTGACATGTGCCTCGCACCATGAGGATGCATGGCCTTCGACAAATATTGGGATGGCCGTAGCTTCCCAGCGAAGGAATCGCCTGACCGGATGTGAAATCAGACTTCACTCCCAGACCTGAGCAAGCATGACCCATTTTAAACTCTCTCTCTCTCTCTCAAAATTGCAACTTTTGGGCCTTAATTCTACCCAGAAGTGACGCCTCACCGCGACGTGCGCCGGTGTCATTGGGGCGGACTGCTTCCTCGAAGGTGGAGAGCAGCTGAGACCTTTCTTGAAGTTTGGAAACCTGGCGCAAGACAGAAACTGCTTGGGAACCCCATCTCAATGCCCAAAAATCTTCCATTTTCGATCATGTTTGTTATCTTTTTGTTGCCGCCACGTGCCGTTGTTTCCGACCTGCAGCCATCTCTGGTCCTTTGTCTTGATCAATTCTCTGCTTATCAACCCTTTGGCACATAGTTTCTCTTGCGAAAGTACGAGCAACATAGAGGCAACTATCATTTGAATCTAAGTTTTGACCTTCTCAAGGATTTGAGGTTCATCAAAACTGCCCGCAGCGAAGGTGCCGATGTGTTTCTGGTTGGCAGGCATCCGGAAGCAATTGCAATAGCTATTAAGTGCACTTTTGCTCTAGAATCCTGTGTTTCCACATCTTTTAAGGAGCCTAAAATCGGCTGAGTTGCCAAATTTGGCTCAATATGGCCCAACATACGCCCAACATGGTCCCAAGTTAGGCCCAACATAGGCCCAATATAGGCCCAACATGGCTCAACATGCCCCAACACAGGCCCAATATAGGCCCAACATGAGTGCACATAGGCCGAACATGGCCCAACATGGGCCCGGCACAGCCCAACATGAGCCCTACAAAGGCTCAACATAGAACATATTACATATATATATATATATATTTTTACAGTTTTATCAGACAAACAAATCTTTACTTGTTTTAAAGCCCAAGGTACCTGCAACGCAAGCCGCTTCCGTTGATGTATCAAATCAAGGCTGGTGGCATCTTTCGTCATTTTTGGGCTTTTCCTTGGCTGCTTTCCAAGATGGCAGACCTTTGAGTTTGACCTGGATCTGCAGCGAACTGCGGAAGCTCTTTTGGGGTTCAAAATTATCTAAAGTACAACTGAAAGCAAAGATTCAGCACTGGTGGGCAGCTCTTCGCTCGGATGACCTCTGCTGCTGGCTCAGCGACTTCATCGATGAAGGTCATCTGGTAGCGGAAGCCCATTGCCACGAGACCACGAGGCGCCGGTGCGATCGTTTCCGGTCACGAGCTCAAATTGCTGCGATGCCCTAGCAGCAATAGATAGCAATAGTATACAGTAGTGTGCACGTGTCTGTTTGTGTGTGCGTGAACCGACTAAAGGGATGGCTGATGGTCCAATAGTTGGAAACGGCCCCATACTTCAATCTGTCAAAATTAACTCCTAGTTGCGTACAATTCTGGGTACCCAGAACCCTACCCCAAACCTTTGCTATTCCCGGCTTTGGCCCTTGCGAATTGTGAGGCCTCTTTGAAACCAAAACGGCCAGACTGCTTATCAACAATACCAAGGTGGGTATGGCTCACAAGTGGGATACGAAGTGACCACAAGCTTCGTAATTTCTGCATTCAGTCGCCATTCACATAACTAGTTTGCAAGTTGCAGGTAAAATCCCCCTTCGTTTCTCTTGGTGAAATTCCAAGTTCTGCTGATTCAACCAAGTTTGGCGGAAAAAGTTGTGGATGTTCACCACTCAAGACTTCATCCAGGTTGGGCCCGCTATGGTCCGCAGTCCATTCAAATCTTCTGGAACGACATGACTATCCCAGGTGTTTTAACTGAAACCTGGCTACCCTTCTGAGCCAGATTGTCTCTGTGGCCGGTGGTCCCAACCTTGTCAATGAGACTATTCAAGGCAAAGCGCCTTTACCCAAGCCTATGAATGAACAGTGTTGATGTATGCAAGTACTGGATCGTCGATCATCAGACATATCAGAGCTTCGTTACACACTTCATCGCCTAAGAAACCACGAATAAATGAATGTACTGTGCCTGAGTCCCCCAACGTTGACACCATCGACGATTCCACCTGGTGACGAACAGGAGCTTCATGGCTGGATAACCATCCAAACTAGACAAAATGGCAGGTTCAAACCATAGAAGTATGACGTGAAAATTGTGATCTTAGCGCGAAAATGGGGATTAAAAATAATTTCTGCATGAGCAAGTGCATTTAAGCCGCAAAAAAAAGGAGATAAGCAGCAAATACTTGGGGCGATAATATAAGCGGCGATGAGAATTTTACCCAGTCCTTTCCATCCGATTTGGGGACACCCAATGTTTGACACATTCGCAGCTCGATGTAGCTCAGGATGGCGCAATGGCCGTCCCACTCTGTTGTAGTTTAGCAACCAATATTGGGGGCTCTCACCAACAAACATGATGATATATGGTTGAGTCATGCCAAAAATCTAGGACTGAAGTGCTCCCCTTTTTCTCGTGTTTTGCAGACTTCCATGCGTTGAGCCGACAACTCTCTGGTTCCGGCATGGTCTGCGCATGGAGATCTGATTCCGCAAAGACAAAACTCATCAGCGGACATCGCATGTATCTGACCATGGCACAAGCAGACCTTTTGCTCGGAAATCCTGCACAGATCTCCCTGCATCATCATCCTTTCGAAGCCACTAGACAAAATGTATAAAATCAAGCAAATCATCAGTTTTGCACTACATTGAACTACCCCATACCAGTATGATGAAGAGGTTTCTTGAAAATCAAGAAAAGTCATGTATTGCGTCTTGGGATTTTCATGCGCATGTCTTGGGAGGGCACGGCAACAGAGCAATGATTGACAATGCATCGGGAGGACCCAGTGCAAATGGCGTCGGACGAGGCACAATGTCCTCCTCACTTTGAGCACCTCGCCACAACCAGCCCTTCAACCTGTAAACGAAGTTTTGAATCGCACCAGATCGCAAAGCTCGCTGGTCGAGTGCCCTTAAAGTGCAAGACTTCAATGGGGATCACTACGCGATGCGACAAGCCCTGGGTGGCCCACTATAACCTGTATAGGATGATAGATCACCCAACACAAATCCAGGAACTTGAGGTTCATCTTAAGATTTCTTTCTGTCCTGCAAGTCTTGCAGAAGCAAGATCAAAACTTGAAACACGCAAAGCCTGATGACGCTGTTGAAACTGCCGTACGAGCACAAGCTTCACAAATTTTGCGACCCCACGCCGATTCCTTGAAATATGGCACGGTATTGAACATTGATTGATGCAGCAAGAAGAACAAAAATGAGAAAACAAAACTGATTCGTCGCACTATACAAGTGAAGCATGGTGAAACAAGATGAGTTCACCATCAAGTGCTAAGATTCATTGCACATGCTTTCAATGGATGGGAAGTGTTTCAAAAAGGACATGCCGCTGAACTGCCACCAAACAATGTTGCCCAAATGAAAACACCCTGCTCAAATGGCAACTTGGTGGGCAAAGGCATGCGACATGCTCAGTCTGAGGCGTAACAACGTAGCGCGCTCATGAAGATGGAACCTATTGATCACGCAACGGTCAAAGTCAGGTATACAACAAATCCTGTTACTGGTTCTGAACTGCACATATTCTGTGTTTTTTGTTTCAGAAGGTTTGCGTTTTGGTCCGTTGTCGTTTCAAATCGCTTCATGACGGCTCTGGTTCAGCATAGGCTTAGTACCAGCGAGCTGCCCTGAGCTTCATCCAGCTGTACCAAGAACTGTCTACACGGGAGGCAACCAGTGGGTGTTTGGATGCCAAGCAATGTGGCATAAGATGTGAACAATGGTTGTTCATATTGCTGAGTTGATCTAGTCCCTTCAGCACAATGTCTCCTGTGTTTGCTGATGGTCAGAGAATCCAAACGCTGCCTTCAGGCCAAACCATACCTTAAATGCAGTATGCTAATATAGGATACAAACAAACACTGATAGATTTTCACGCGACCGATGCGTTACACCATCTTACACCAATTGCTGAGTTCAAAACTCCAGAATTTTGGCTGTTTCGCGCAAGTCCTTCAGTTCAATGGACATGAGTTTTGAAAAATTGCCACGGAGGGTCGAGCAAATCAAGCTGACCAAATTGGCCAGACTCATTCGCTCCAAGACATATCGAATCTTGCGTGGAGTCCTTTGGACCGTGGTGCCCCCCGTCGCTCGGACAACAATTTCACTCTCCAGCAGCTGAAGCACTCGACAAGCTCCAGGAAGTTCGCTCGCCTTGCTAAACTCAACCGGAGCGGCCCCGGACTTTTGGTTTGTTTCTGCATTTCTGGTGTTTTTTCTTATTCCCCACCTGCCAGCACCTACACACCGCAATTTGATTGCCTGTTTGTTTACCATAGCCACTGTATGGCGAGTTTGCCAGCTCTCTGCGACGCCCCGAATAGCAAGTTTTTCTGGGGCGCCCCAGACCCCAACCTTATGCCAAATAGACTGCCAGATAAAATTTCAGAATATATGTCAGATAGAATGTTAGAATATATGCCAGATAAAATGTCAGAATATAGGTTAGGTAACAGGTCAGAATATATGTCACATAAAATGTCAGAGTTCATGCCACTGCGGGGGTCACACGAAGTAAAGTCCTTGTTATGTTTCTGGTGTTGTTCCATGTTTTCTTCTTATTTTTATTTTGTTTGTTTGTTTTTTCTTCTTTTTCTTTTTCTTCTTCTTTTTTTTTTCTTTTTCTTCTTCTTTTTCCTGTTCTTCTTCTTCCTTTTCTTCTTCTTCTTTTTCTTCTTATTCTTCTTATTCTTCTTCTTTTTCTGTTTCTTCTTTTTCTTCTTCTCTTTTTCTTACTGTTCTTTTTCATGTTTTCCTTATACTTAGAATCATGTTTATTCTTCTTCTTCCTCTTTACTTCTTCCTACTCCTCTCTTCTTTTTCTTCTTGTTCTTCTTATGTTCCTCTGATGTTTCTTCCTTTTATTCTTGTCTTATTCTTATTTTTTCTTTGTTTTTCTTCTCTGTTTTCTTCTTCCGTTTCTTCTTCTTCTTCTTCCTCTTCCTCTGTTTCTTCTTCTTTTTCTTATTCTTCTTCTTCTTCTTCTTATTCTTCTTCTTCTTCTTCCTCTTCCTCTTCTTCTTATTCTTCTTTTTCTTCTTCTTCTTCTTCTTCTTCTTTTCTTCTTCTTCTTCTTTTCTTCTTCTTCTTCTTCTTCTTCCTCTTCTTCTTCTCCTTCTCCTTCTCCTTTTCCTTCTCCTTCAACTTCTCCTTCTCCTTCTCCTTCCCCTTCCCCTTCCCCTTCCCTTCCCCTTCTTCCCCTTTCCCTTCCTCCCCTTCCCCTTCTTCCCCTTCCCCTTCTTCCCCTTCCCCTTCTTCCCCTTCGCCTTCGCCTTCACCTTCGCCTTCGCCTTCTCTTTCTCCTTCTCCTTCTCCTTCTCCTTTCCTTTTCCTTCTCCTTCTCCTTCTCCCTCCTCTTCTTCTTCTTCTTCTCCTCCTCCTCCTTCTCCTTCTCCTCCTCCTCCTCTTTGTTTGGGCCGAGGTTGGCCCCCCTCTTGGACCAGCTTGGGGCCAGCTTAGAGGCTATGTTGGCCTGTCTTCGAGCTATGTTGGCCCACCTTGGGCTATCTCCCCCCATCTTGGGGCTATGTTAGCCCCATCTTGGGGCGAAGCTGGGCCCGCGTTGCCCATGGCCCCCGTGGCCGTGGCACTGCCGTACGGCATTCTCTCGTCTCCGTAGGAGAGGGGCTCCCACCCTGCCGCCAACTCACCTCCATCGGTACAATCCTCCGGCAATTTACAGTGTTTTGTGGCTTTTCATTTTTTCGATCCTGCCCAACATGGCCTAGCTTGCGGGCCCACATATCCCCAAGGAGGGCCAACATAGCCCCAAGATGGCCAACATAGCCCCAAGATGGCCAAGATGGGACAATATAGCTCGAAGACGGGCCAACATAGCCCCTAAGATGGCCCCAAGCCAACCTCACCAAGATGCGCCTACTACAGACCTTGCGGATGGGCCCCAACCACCACCACCACCACTAAGCCCTTAAATCCGGCGATGCCTCGCTGTGTGGTGGTATAGCCTGCAGCTAGCTTTGGCTGGTTGGGGGGGCGCCTGTGCCGCTGACCCCCCAAAATCCTTCACTCTCGCTGTGTTCACGTTTTGGGGGGTCCGGGGCCATGCTTTTGGAAATCGATTTTGGACCATTTTTAAGCCATTGTTTGACAATTTTTTGGTTGCGCTCGGGAAGCAAAAACATCGTAAAATACAGTGTGGTCTTTGTAGCATATAGAAATTACATCTTACAACATGGTGAAAACTGTGCAAATACCAGTGCTTTTGCCAGGCACAGGCACAAAAACATTGTAAATACCGTGATTTTGCTACCAGATGCAAACAAAAAAAACATCGTAAATACCGTGGTTTTGGGCTTCCGAGGCGCAAAAAAAACATCGGCATGTCCGATGTGTTTTGCTCGGAGGGTTTCAAAAATACACGAAAACACCGCCTATTTGACGGTTTGTAGGGTCCACAAAAATGCGAAAATAAGCTGTGTTGCAACCACCACCACCACCACCACAACAACAACAACAAGAAGAAGAAGAAGAACAAGCACAAAAATGCGACAAAAAGATGTGTGGTAAGATGGTTACAAGCTGCGGTATGACTAGGCGCACACGCAGAGCACATGAACAACACCAACGCTTACACTACTATACATAACCCTTATGGCATCGCCGGTGTGCGAAGCTCTACACTCTACAATTTCAGAATACTGTATATGTCAATGTCAGACAGAATGCCAAAAAAATGCCAGAGATAGTATGTTAGAATTTATGTCAGGTACTGTAAAATGTCATTATCCGCCGACCCCTGCCTAGCTTTGGCCTAGGCGGGGCGGCGCCCGGGATCACCGTAGGTGTGCAGCATGGCCCCGGTGCCTGCTTTGTGCTTTCAAAAGCTTCAGAAGCGATGCCTTGCCATTGAAGCTCCCGAAGCCCTTTGGAAACACGAACTGTTTCTGTTGGGCTTCGAAGCTGCTATCTGGCACTTCCGAGGCGCCACAACCTGTTTCTATTGTGCTTCGAAACTGCCATCTGGCACGTTTTCAGCACCCCTTAAAAGCCTTAAAACCACCAAAACCGTCCCAGCAACTTTCGACGGCGTTTCGCTGCTTTGCCCTGGGACCTCCCGAGGCCCCACGAGCTGTTTCTGTTGGGCTTCGAAGCTGCTATCTGGCACTTCCGCGGTGCCACAACCTGTTTCTTGTGTGCTTCGAAACTGCCATCTGGCACGTTTTCAGCACCCCTCAAAAGCCTTAACACCCTCAAACCCTCCCAGCAGCTTTGCCATGGGACTTCCCGAGGCCCCACGAACTGTATCTGTTGGGCTTCGAAACTGCTACTGGCACTTCCGAGGCACCACAACCTGTTTCTATTGGGCTTCGAAACTGCCACCTGGCCCGTTTCCAGCACCTTAAAAGCTTTAAGACCCCAAAATCCTCCCAGCAGCTTTGCCATGAGACCTCCCGAGGCGCCATGTTGGGCTTCGAAGCTGCTATCTGGCACTTCCGAGGCGCCACAACCTGTTTCTATTGTGCTTCGAAACTGCCATCTGGCACGTTTTCAGCACCCCTTTGTTTCTGTTGGCCTTCGAAGCTGCTATCTGGCACTTCCGAGGCGCCACAACCTGTTTCTATTGGGCTTTGAAACTGCCATCTGGCCCGTTTCCAGCACCCCTTAAAAGCCTTAAAAGCCTCACAGCAGCTTTCGACGGCGTTTCGTTGCTTTGCCATGCGACCTCCCGCGGCGCCACGATCTGTTTCTGTTAGGCTTCAAAGCTGCTATCTGGCACTTCCGAGGGCCACAACCTGTTTCTATTGGGGCTTCGAAGCTCTGGTACTTCCGCGGCGCCACAACCTGTTTCTATTGGGGCTTCGAAACTGCCATCTGGCACGTGTCCAGCACCCCTTAAACTCCTAGCCGGTTTCGACGGCGTTTCGCTGCTTTGCCATGAGACCTCCCAAGGCGCCACGAGCTGTTCCTGTTGGCCTTCGAAGCTGCTATCTGGCGCTTCCGAGGCGCCACAACCTGTTTCTATTGGGCTTTGAAACTGCTATCTGGCATTTCCGAGGCACCACAACCTGTTTCTATTGGGCTTCGAAACTGCCACCTGGCTTGTTTCCAGCACCCCTCAAAAGCTTTAAGACCCCAAAATCATCCCAGCAGCTTTGCCATGAGACCTCCCGAGGCGCCATGTTGGGCCTCCCGCGGCGCCACTAGCTGTTTCTGTTGACTTCGAAGCTGCTATCTGGCACTTCCTAGGTGCCACAACCTGTTTCTATTGTGCTCCGAAACTGCCATCTGGCATGTTTTCAGCACCCCTTAAAAGGCTTAAAACCTTCAAAACCCTCCTAGCCAGTTTCGACGGCGTTTCGCTGCTTTGCCATGAGACCTCCCAAGGCGCCACGAGCTGTTTCTGTTGGCCTTCGAAGCTGCTATCTGGCACTTCCGAGGCGCCACAACCTGTTTCTATTGGGCTTTGAAACTGCCATCTAGCACGTTTCCAGCACCCCTTAAAAGCCTTAAAAGCCTCAAAACCCTCCCAGCAGCTTTCGACGGCGTTTCGTTGCTTTGCCATGCGACCTCCTGCGGCGCCACTAGCTGGTTCTGTTGACTTCGAAGCTGCTATCTGGCACTTCCGAGGTGCCACAACCTGTTTCTATTAATGCTCCGAAACTGCCATCTGGCACGTTTTCAGCACCCCTTAAAAGCCTTAAAACCTTCAAAACCCTCCTAGCCAGTTTCGACGGCGTTTCGCTGCTTTGCCATGAGACCTCCCAAGGCGCCACGAGCTGTTTCTGTTGGCCTTCGAAGCTGCTATCTGGCACTTCCGAGGCGCCACAACCTGTTTCTATTGGGCTTTGAAACTGCCATCTAGCACGTTTCCAGCACCCCTTAAAAGCCTTAAAAGCCTCAAAACCCTCCCAGCAGCTTTCGACGGCGTTTCGTTGCTTTGCCATGCGACCTCCTGCGGCGCCACTAGCTGGTTCTGTTGACTTCGAAGCTGCTATCTGGCACTTCCGAGGTGCCACGGGCCTGTCTTCTAAACTATTACTGCCATCTGCACGTTTTCAGCACCCCTTAAAAAACCTTGTTACGTTCCTATCCAACTTTTTCCGCTCTCACTCGGCGCCGTCCAAAGGTGTATTGTGCGTGCTTTTTTGGATTCTCCGGCCTTAGCGCAGACCAAACAGCTCTGGCAACGGCGTGCACCTGTGCGCGGTGCGCTTCGTTGCCTTGCCTCACGTTACGCCGTTTCTCCTCACACTTCACCGCTTGCCGCAAATGCCGCGTGGTGGTTAATTTGCCCATTCGCCAGCTTGCTGGCAACAGTGCCTTCGCAAAACGGGCACCTGTAAACATATTCTTTGGCTGCCACCTGGCCATCTTGGACATAAAACCGGTTACCGCAGGTGCCTCGATGGTTAATTTGCCCCAGTCTTCAGCTTGCTGGCGACGGGGCCTTCGCAAAACGGGCAACTGTAAACAAACTCTTTGGCAGCGATGTGTCCATCTTTGACTTTCACCTGGGTCCGCTGCGCCTCATCATCCTGAGGCTTCCCCCATGGGCGCGACCCGCGCGCGCAACTCCACCCTTGAAAGGGGTCGGCGGCACCAGGGCGTCAGCCCATTTATATATATATATATATCAGAATATATGTCAGATACAAGGTCAAAATATATGTCACATAAAATATCTTAGTTTATGCCACGCCGGGGATCACAAAGTGAAGAAACTGTTATGTTTCTTTTTCTTTTCCTTCCTCGTCTTCTTTTCCTGCCTCCTCTTCTTTTCCTTCCTCCTCTTCTTTTCCTTCCTCCCCTTCTTTTCCTTCCTCCTCTTCCTTCCCTTCCTCCTCTTCCTTTCCTTCCTCCTCTTCCTTACCTTCCTCCTCTTCCTTTCCTTTCTCCTCTTCTTTTCCTTCCTCCTCTTCCTTTCCTTCCTCCTCTTCTTTTCCTTCCTCCTCTTCTTTTCCTCCTCTTCATTTACTCCCTCCTTTTTCTCCTTTTCCTCCTGTTCCTCCTTTTCCTTCTTTTCCTCCGTTTCCTCCTTTTCCTCCGTTTCCTCCTTTTCCTCCTTTTCCTCCTTTTCCTTTTCCTCCGTTTCCTCCTTTTCCTCCTTTTCCTCCTTGTCCTCCTTTTCCTTCTGTCCTCCTTTTCCTCCTGTTCCTCCTTTTCCTCCTTCCTTCCTCCTTCCTCCCTCCTTCCTCCTTCCTCCTTCGTCCTTCCTTCTTCCTTTTGCCTTCTTCCTTCTTCCGTTTTCCTTCTTTCTTCTTCCTTCATCATGCGTCGGTCTTCCTTCTTCCTTCTTCTTCTCCGTCTCCTTCAACTTCTCCTTCTCCTTCCCCTTCCCCTTCTCCTTCTCCTCCTCCTCCTCCTTCCCCTTTCCCCTTCCCCTTCTCCTTCTCCTTCACCTTCCTTTTCCTTCTCCTTCTCCGGCTCCTTCTTCTCCCTTCTTCCCCCCCCTTCTCCCCCCACCTTCTCCTTCTCCTTCTCCTTCTTCTCCTTCTTCTTCCCCTTCCCCTCCCCCTCCCCCTTCCCCTTCTCCTTCTCCTTTCTTATCCCCCCCACACCTTCTACCCCCCCCTCTCCTTCTCCTTCTCCTTCTCCTTCTCCTTCTCTTTTTCTTTCTCCTTCTCCTTCCCCTTCCCCTCCCCCTTCCCCTTCTTCTCTCCTTCTTCTTATCCCCCACACCCTTCCCCTCCCCCTCCCCCTTCTTCTCCTTCTCCTTCTCCTTCTCTTCCTCCTTCTCCTTCTCCTTCTCCTTTTCCTTCTCCTCTTCTTCTTTGCTTGCCTAACTACACCTAGCTCCTAGCTCTACTGTCGTCTCTAATCATTTTTTATGCCCCAGGCCTCCACTGTTTTGCGCACATATGGCAAAATCATCTCCAAGAAGGTGACAGGTGGAAGGAGTTTCAAGAAGTCGCGTTGCTGCTTGTCGAAGGAAGGAATGCGAGCTTCCTAAGTTCAGGGGAACATCCAAGCTGTTCCCAATGGATCCCAAGAAGGCCCTAGCACAGCGAACTCAAGTTGAAAGGTCAACGAGACAAAGCCTGCTACACCTCAAACGTCCTACAACTGCTTCCTATGTCTGCAAGACAAATCAGATTAAATCAGCTTACAGCCGGCATACACTTAAGTTTCGCTAAGCATCGTGAGCCAAATGGCAGAAACCACAATCTGCACCCTTTTGACATGTGCCTCGCATCATGAGGATGCATGGCCTTCGACAAATATTGGGATGGCCGTAGCTTCCCAGCGAAGGAATCGCCTGACCGGATGTGAAATCAGACTTCACTCCCAGACCTGAGCAAGCATGACCCATTTTAAACTCTCTCTCAAAATTGCAACTTTTGGGCCTCAATTCTACCCAGAAGTGACGCCTCACCGCGACGTGCGCCGGTGTCATTGGGGCGGACTGCTCCCTCGAAGGTGGAGAGCAGCTGAGACCTTTCTTGAAGTTTGGAAACCTGGCGCAAGATAGAAACTGCTTGGGAACCCCATCTGAATCCCCGAAAATCTTCCACTTTAATGTTTTGTTGTTGACCAGGTGCCGAATGTCAAGCCATCTTTGGTCCTTGTTTTGATGGCCGGGGCAGGTGCCAAATACAGGGTCCCTTGGAAAAAAAAAACAGCAACAATCATTTGAACCTGAGTTTTGTCCGTCTCAAAATTTTGAGGTACATCAAATACCCAGATATGACACTTTCTTCACAGTTGTCTATCAAGGAGAGAAACTTCCGCGCTCCGGACATTTAAGCTGAGAAGAGCTAAAGATCCGCTGACATGCCCTAAGAAGAGCTGAGAAAAGCTAACTAAGCTGAGGAGCTGAAATGAGCTGAGATAAGCTGACTAAGTCGCGAAGAGCTGAGATGAGCTGACAAGAGCTAAGAAAAGCTGAAGAGAAGAGCTGAGATGAGCGAAGAGCTGAAAAAAACTGAGAAAGCTGGGAAGAACGAAGAGCTGAGAAGAGCTGAGGAGAACAGCTGAGCTAAGACGAGTTGAAACAAGCTGAGAAGAGCTGAAACAAGCTGAGAAGAGGAGAGAAGAGATGAGTTGAGACAAATTGAAACGAGCTGAGAAAAGCCGAGAAGAGCTGAGTTTAGAGGAGTTGAAACGAGGTGAGAAGAGGTGAGAAGGAGGAAAGGAGAGCTGAGAAGAGGCGGGAAGAGGAGAGATGAGATGAGAAGAGATGAGAAGGAAATATCTAGAGATTGCTTGACATCCTATCCGTACATGTTCGAAACTTTCGCCCCCAGCTTGCCGGGGCACTACATTATGATGGTTTTGCAGACATGCGAATCTTTACTCTTTTGAAGCGCACAGCACCTGCAATGCGAGCCGCTCCTGTTCATGCATCAAACCAAGGCTGGTAGCATCTGTCGTCATCTTCGGGGTCTTCCTTGGCTGGCTCTCCCTTAAAAACGGCAGACCCTTTCACCTGACTTCAGCAGGAAAAAAAAATGGAAGCTCTTTTCAGGGTTCAAATTTTATGAAAATGGCAACTGAAAGCAGAGATTCAGCACTGGTGGGCAGCTCTTTGCTCGGATGACCTCTGCTGTTGGCTCAGCGACTTCATCGATGAAGGTCATCTGGTAGCGGAAGCCAGCCATGGTCACGATGCAAGAGCGATATTGTTTCTGCGTCACGAGCATAAATTGCTGCGATGCCGTAGCAGCATTGGTATATACTGAGTAAACCTACGAAGAGGATTGCTGATGGTCAAGCAGTTGCAAACGGGGCCCCAAATAAATTCCTGCTTACGTCCATTTCTGGGTACGGACCCTACCCAAAACCCTTGTTGTTTTTGAATTTGGCTCTTGCGAACTCCGAATGCCAGAGTCGGTATGGCCAACAAGTTGTGTCATTTCTTACATTCAGTCGCAACCATTTGTGGCGAGATACAGTATCCTGCAAGTTGACGGTGAAATCTCCTTGTAGCGAAACGCCCATGTCTATGAATTCAACTCACCAAGGTTCGCGGGGAACAGCTGTTGTGGATGTTCATCACTCCGTTCATCAAGGAAAATAAAGGGTTATGACTATCCCCTACGTTTCCTGAATTTCCCAATGACACCAGGGAGTAGAACTGACGACGGAGCATCCTTTCTGCTTCAGAACCACCAGTTGGGGATTCCCCCATTCTTGAGAAACCCTTATTTGTCGTGATAAGATCAATGTTTTACCGTGAAATCACTGCCAATCCCAAGTCTCACCTCGATGACCATGGCATGAGGCAGCAAGTCCAACAGCGGAGTGGAATCTGCTTCCGAAGTGATTTCCGGGGACTTAAACCTTTGGTGATGTCTCATGTGTATATGTAAACATGTGTATATATACTGTATATATTGCTATATAAGTCGTTATACATATATATAGAGAGAGAGAGAGATTGATATATATATATATATATCTTTATTATCTATCTAGCTATATAGAGAGAGAGAGAGAGACATGTCTATATATTTTCCCCACAATTATAGAAGATATTCAGGATTTTTGAAATACAAGATGGATTCTGGGGGTGCGGCCAAAGGCGTTTCAAATAGAAGATATTGCAGAGTGTAAAAATAGTTCAAATGTTCAAAAATCCAACAATAAACCCCTCAACATTGGGATGATCTTTGCAATATCTTCTATTTGAAAATATTTTGTCCCACTGATTTTTTGTGGTTTTTGCAGGGGCATTATGTAACATCAATAGAACATTGACGCCCGGACTCGGGTGACCCCCCGAAGAGGGGAGTGCAAAAGTACCTCCCGAAGTGGGACCCGGCCGGAGGTACTTTTGCACTCCCGCCTTCGGGGGGGCGGGGGGGCGGTGAAAACTGTTTAAAAACCCTGGGGGTCTTAGTTTTTTTGATTGGGGGTGGTGATTCAAACCCCCTTTTTTATATAGAAGATAATCTGAAACGCTATTGGTTTTTAAAATAGAAGATATCCGAGGAGTACTGAAAACACTTTTCAAATAGAAAGTAATATTTCATGAGGGAATCCAGAGGGTTCCACCAAATTGGTTTTAAACAGAAGATATTGGTTTGTAACCCCATGAGTTCGACAGATCCCAAACGCATGAAAAACAATTTTCAAATAGAAGATAATTGATTTTTGGCTTGGTTTCGGGCCTTCATAGGTTGGGCACAAAAGGGGGCACAAAAACACAGTCCTCAAATGAAAGATGATAGGGATCCCGAAACATCGAAACAACACTAGGAAAAACATACATCCAATCGTCAAAAACATTCTCCGATCTTGCTCTAACCTCAAGATCCCTGGAGAAAGATGGAGAAAGACAATGATTTGAATATCTTCTATTTGAAATGCCTTTGGGAAGGCATCAAAACACCGAGTTTTGCACAGAACATTGAGGAATCTGGGCTTTCAGGTGTGGGCAGGAATAATAAATATATTTGAATATCTTCTGTTGGAAATGCCTTTGGGAAGCCATCAAAACACCCAGTTTTGCACAGAACATTGGAGAACCTGGGCTTTCAGGGGTGGGCAGGAATAATATTATTTGGGTACCTTCTAACATGTTTGTATATTTTCTATACCAGTAGTACCGCACAAGGCGGTGGCGGAAGTTTCAGAAATAGGAAACCTATAGGAGAGATTGGTTGTTGTGAATCAGGGATGGCAGAGCGAATCCACTCATGGACCGAAAGGTGCTTGAGGTCTCCTCTCTTTCTCTCTCTTACTCTGACTATCTACCTACCTACCTATCTATCTACCTATGTATCTATCTATCTATCCATCTATCTATCTATTTCTCTCTCTCTCTCTTTCATCTTATTACCTATCTATCTTCTATCTATCTTTCTATCTATCTATCTATCTATCTTTCTTTCTTTCTTTCTATCTATCTATCTATCTTTCTTTCTATCTTTCTATCTTTCTTTCTATCTATCTTTCTATCTATCTATCGATCTATCGATCTATCGATCTATCGATCTATCGATCTATCGATCTATCGATCTATCGATCTATCTTTCTTTCTTTCTATCTATCGATCTATCTATCTATCTATCTATCTATCTATCTATCTATCTATCTATCTATCTATCTATCTATCTATCTATATCTCTCTCTCTCTCTTTCATCTAATTACCTATCTATCTATCTATCTATCTATCGATCTATCTATTTATATCTATCTAAATCTATCTATATCTATCTATCGATCTATCGATCTATCTATCTATCTATCGATCTACCTATCTATGGATCTATCTATCTATCTAGCTATCTATCTATCTTTCTACCTATCTATCCTTCTATCTATCTATCCATCTATCTATCTATCATTCTTTCTTTCTACCTATCTATCTATGGTTCTATCTATCTATCTATCTATGGTTCTTTCTATCTATCTATGGTTCTTTCTATCTATCTATCTAGCTATCTAGCTGTCTATCTGTCTATCTGTCTATCTGTCTATCTGTCTATCTGTCTATCTGTCTATCTGTCTATCTATCTGTCTATCTGTCTATCTGTCTATCTGTCTATCTGTCTATCTGTCTATCTGTCTATCTGTCAATCTGTCTATCTGTGGTGCAGTGTCATTCAGTGTGATGTAGTGTGGTGTAGTAGTGTACTGCAGTCTAGTGGAGCGTAGTAATGTAGTGTAGTGTAATGTAGTGTAGTGTAGTGTAATTTAGTGTAGTGGAGTGTAGTGGAGTGTAGTTGTGTAGTCGTAGTTGTAGCTGTAGCGTAGTGGAGTGTAGTGTAATGTAGTGAAGTGTAGTGGAAGGTAGTGTAGTGTAATGTGGTGTAGTGTAGTGGAGTGTAGTGTAGCGTCATGTAGTATAGCGTACTGTAATTTAGTGTAGTGTAGTGTAGTGGAGTGTAATTGTGTAGTTGTAGTTGTAGTTGTAGTGGAGTGTAGTGTAATGTAGGGAAGTGCAGTGGAAGGTAGTGTAGTGTAGTGTAATGTAGTGTAGTGGAGTGTAGTGCAATGTAGTGTAGTGTAATTTAGTGTAGTGGAGTGTAGTGGACTGTAGTGGAGTGTAGTGGAGTGTAGTTGTGTAGTTGTGTAGTTGTAGTTGTAGTTGTAGTGTAGTGGAGTGTAGTGTAGTGTAATGTAGTGAAGTGAAGTGTAGTGGAAGGTAGTGTAGTGTAGTGTAGTGTAATGTAGTGTAGTGGAGTGTAGTGTAATGTAGGGTAGTGTAGTGGAAGGTAGTGTCGTGTAGTGTAATGTAGTGTAGTGTGGTGGAGTGTAGTGTAATGTAGTGTAGTGTAGTGTAATTTAGTGTAGTGGAGTGTCATTTAGTGTAGTGGAGTGTAGTTGTGTAGTTGTAGTTGTAGTGTTGTGGAGTGTAGTGTGTAGTGTAATGTAGTGAAGTGTAGTGGAAGGTAGTGTAGTGTAATGTAGTGTAGTGGAGTGTAGTGTAGTGTAATGTAGTGTAGTGTAATGTAATTGAGTGTAATTGAGTGCAGTGTAGTGTAGTGGAGTGTACTAGAATGTAGTGAAGGTGTAGTGGTAGTTGTAGTTGTAGTGTCGTGTAATTGGAGTGTAGTGTGGTGTAGCGGTGGTTGTAGTTGAAAATGCGACAAAATCCTCACGTTTTGCTCACTTTTGACAAGGTGCACAATCCCTTGCGCCTGCCAATCTGAACCTCCAAAAGTGGTCCGAACCCCTGGTGTTTTTAACATTTTGACTTCAAAATGTGCTTCGCGCCACAACGGCGCGCACTTTTTCGAGATCTGAACTTCCAAAAGTGGTCCGAACCCCTAGTGTTTTGCACATTTTGACTTCCAAATGTGCTTCGCGCCACAACGGCGTGCACTTTTTCGACATCTCTACTTCCAAAAGTGGTCCGAACGTGGTGTGCCTTGTACATTTTGACTTGAAAAAGTGCTTCGCGCCACAACGGCGTGCACTTTTTCGACATCTCAACTTCCAAAAGTGCTCCGAGACCCAGGTGTTTTGTACATTTTCATTTTCACTTTGAAATGTGCTTCGCGCCACAACGGCGTGCAATTTTTCATCTCTCATCTGGCCAGCTGGCTCCGCACCCGCCGCTTTAGCGAGCCTACTTTTCGACCCTCCGGAGCCACAACTCATTGGAAAAAACACAGTGTTTCGCGACTTTCCTACCTTTTCGCCCATCTGCATCTTCTTTCTTCTGACTCTTTCTCTTCTAATCTTTCTCTTCTCTCTGCCTCTGCCCTACTCTGCTTTTCATCTGTCCATATTGTCGGAAGTTTGACTTCTAAACTTCCTTCGATTAAATGTTTCTGAGAAAGCCTCGAAACACTCGGTTTTGCACGTAATAGCGGAGAATCTGGATTTACACCCAGGACGGAGCGGAAAAGACCATTTCAAATAGAAGATATTGAGTATACCAACCCCAAATTCTCAAAACAAGATTGTGCAACAAACCATTTTTTAATAGAAGTTATTCGGTTGGATGATCCACCAAGTCTGTGCTTTTGGTGTTGGTATAAATGGTTTGATATAGAAGAGATTAGATTGGACCCTCCCGGGACCATAGTTGCGGAGAGTGCAAAAGTACCTCCAACATCCCGGATGTTCTACCATGTTTGGTCTTTGAAATAATTTATCTCCTATTTAAAAGTGATTTTCCTGCGCATCCAAACCTGTTTCAAATAGAAGATCGGTTCTCCGATAATTCCCGAATATCTTCTATAATCGCGGTGGGAAGTATATGATATATATATATATATATGTATATTCTATATATATATATATAGAGGGCGGCATCCCGTGGGGGAGTGAATTTTCATTAAAAATGATGATAAAACACTGTAAATACCGATGTTTTATGCATTTGGAGGGTCTAAAACCCTAGTAAAACACACTTTTTTCATCATGATCTTGACATGAGATATACAAAAACATTGACAGCCACCAAAAAAAAAACAAACCACTAGATGCACCAAACATCGACAGGCACCAAAAACCAAAAAAACAAAAATTCCAGCAACTACTCAGAAGTGGACCCATAGTTCCTGGAAATTTTAGTTTTTTTGGTTTTTTTGGTGCCTGTGAAGGTTTGGTGCATCTAGTGGTTTGGTTTTTTTGGTTTTTTTGGTGCCTGTGCAGGTTTGGCGACTCTGACTTCACAAAACATTGACAGGCACCAAAAAAAACAAAAAATCACCAAACCACTAGATGCACCAAACATCGACAGGCACCAAAAAAAAAAAACAGCAACTACTCAGAAGTGGACCCATAGTTCCTGGAAATTTTAGTTTTTTTGGTTTTTTTGGTGCCTGTGCAGGTTTGGTGCATCTAGTGGTTTGGTTTTTTTGGTTTTTTTGGTGCCTGTGCAGGTTTGGTGACTCTGACTTCACAAAACATTGACAGGCACCAAAAAAAACAAAAAAACCAACCACTAGATGCACCAAACATCGACAGGCACCAACAAAAACCAAAAAAAATAAAAATTCCAGCAACTACTCAGAAGTGGACCCATAGTTCCTGGAAATTTTAGTTTTTTTGGTTTTTTTGGTGCCTGTGAAGGTTTGGTGCATCTAGTGGTTTGGTTTTTTTGGTTTTTTTGGTGCCTGTGCAGGTTTGGTGACTCTGACTTCACAAAACATTGATAGGCACCAAAAAAACCAAACCACTAGATGCACCAAACCTGCACAGGCACCAAAAAAAACAAAAAAAACAAAAATTCCAGCAACTACTCAGAAGTGGACCCATAGTTCCTGGAAATTTTAGTTTTTTTGGTTTTTTTGGTGCCTGTGCAGGTTTGGTGCATCTAGTGGTTTGGTTTTTTTGGTTTTTTTGGTGCCTGTGCAGGTTTGGTGACTCTGACTTCACAAAACATTGACAGGCACCAAAAAAACAAAAATTCCAGGACCTACTCAGAAGTGGACCCATAGTTCCTGGAAATTTTAGGTTTTTTTTTGGTGCCTTTGCAGGTTTGATGCATCTAGTGGTTTGTTTTTTTTTGTTTTTTGGTGCTTGTGCAGGTTTGGTACATTTATTGGTTTGTTGTTTTTTTGATGCCTGTGCAGGTTTTGGTGATTCTAGATTGTGTATGTTTGGATCTTGGCCATCTTTTAAACTTATGTTTCAAATAAGCAAACATACCGTTATCTTTGAATAGCTATGCCACCACACAGGTTGCCTGGCCTTAATATTCAACAGCTTGACACACGTCTTTGTCTCTTAGGCTTTCTCTCTCTCTCTCTGTCTAACTATTGAAATGAGACTGCTGACAAGACTCTGCAAGATAACAATGATAAACGAGATATGTACCTACTTCTTGAGTTGTAACATTCCCACCATCCTTCTTATCCAGAGTGTTAGATGTGCTTGTGTTATATCCACCTATATAATGTATGCCCTTCCCACCATACTTCTTATGTAGCGCAAATGCTTCTATATACAATATATGTTAAGATGATATCAATCTAACAAGTTCATGAAGAAACACCTATATCATATCAATTGCTTTTAACAATAGAATTTCTTCATCACCTCCATCACACTAGTCACCTATTGCTACTGTATATTCTGTTCCAAGATGTGCAGCTACCCATTCTTATGGCATGTTGTGCAGCAGATGTTTTCTGTTATGTGCTGATTGTTTGTACTTCTTTGCAAGCCTCACAGGAAAAATTGAATCCTGCCACAAGAGTCTGTAAATGCCAGTGATTTATGACAGCATATGAGAGCCTTTGGAGGTGAACTCTATTTTTTGCTCTAAAATAACGGTTTTAAGCCCACTTTGGTCACAAAACACTGTAAATACGAGTATTTTTGACAATTTTTAGAGCAAAAATCACTCCCCCATGAGGGGGCGTTCTGAGCGGTGGGAAGTATATGATATATATATATATATATGTATATTCTATATATATATGTTGATATATGTACGTGTATATATATACATATATAGAGAGAGAGAGATATGAATATGAATAAAGATATTCGTCGTATTGGCGGCAGGTTCAAACATGTGTCTATGTAGAAATGATTTATAATGACATTGTTTTCACATGAATCAGTCCTGCTAAGCTCACATACTGACGATTTTCAGTGCAGGTTGTACAAGAAACCTGCAAGGATCTGTACATCGGTGGCCAAAGTTTGAAAATTCATCATTACAGTAACAGATCTTGGACTTGCTGATGGGATAGTGCTCATTTTCATGGTACATTTTTCCAAGCAAATAATTCACCAAGGCGTGGTGAGTTTCACAGTGTGCATCTGGCACCCCTTGCACCCCACGGCCCTTTTTTCGTGCTGTTCGGGGAAAGCTCAGCATTTCCTCTGCCCACACAGCGCTTTCATCCAGGACTTTGCAAAGTTTCGCTCCGCAGCGTTGCTGTCCCAAGGCCTTAGATGATGGACATCTGGCAATGGTTCAACAACTTGTTTTTTTCGTGCCAGAATGGATGGTTCAGTGCCAGAATATTTGAGCATGAACTATTCGAGGTGGATTCTTTGGCATCCCATTTTTTACCTGTACTGAAATTGGGAAACCGGGAATCGTCTAGTTCAGGCTCCTGGTACTTCAGTATACAATAGCTCCTCACTTCACAGGGTCCACAGCACCGGTCACCTCAAGCAGCAACTGCAGTTACTAAGTGCCAGGGTTTCGGTTTCGTTGTGCGAAACCTGTTTTCACCAAGCCACATTGACATAATGGTTCACCCGCATGTCCCTCATCCTGAGAAAGTCAATTCACAGGGTCCACCATGCCCCATTGCTGGGTCCACCATGGTCCAGTGTGCTTTGTTTGTGGGTCAATTTTCGAATTCCAAAACTTCCAGAATCCTCTGATCTTCCCCTGCAGCCATGCGTCGGATCAGCATGGACAATCTTCAGAGGCGGCTCGGAAGCTAAGCTTGGGCGTGGCCTGAGGCATGATCAACTCCCGGAATTATGGGAATCAATTGCGGATTATCTTTCCATTCAACATAGAGCTCGACAAAATGAACGATTTCGGATCATGTGACTGCAAGAATCCTAGTACAGCGCTGAAATATCATGAAACTCCATCCTTTGCATCTGACAGATATGTGACACTGCTTGTGGTGCTGTGATCCAAAATGCCCTGCTCCATGCATCCCTTTCTCTGGCATCTCATCGGCTTCGCTCCCCGGGTCCAACCTGGCCGGATGGACCCCTGCTTGCGCCACATTCTCCACATTCACAATCACTGTATGCCCCACCTCAGAAACGCCCAACCGCCACGGACAAATTACACCGGCATGGATCCCAGATAGAAAAGGTTTCAGTAACGTTTTTTGTGTGCGAACTGCTTGCGGCAAAAGCGGAACTGCCGGTTCCAAAACATACCTATGCGTCCCAATCTTGGAACCACAGCTTCCGAGTTCGAGGAAGTGCTAGTTCCCAAATGTTCGAACCAATGCTTCCCAACCTTTTCTAGGAACTAGTGGTTCCCAAACGCTGCAACCTACGCGTCCCGATCTTGGAACCACTGGTTCCCGTTCTAGGAACTACCGTTTTTCAAACGTTGGAACCCATGCTTCCCAATCTTGGAACCGTGTGTTTCCAATTGGAAAAACTGCCGGCTCCCCAAGATTGGAATTACAGGGTTCCAGTCTTAGGAATTACCGGTTCCGAAACGCTGGAATGAATGCTTTGAAATTTGTACCCGCGGATTCGTAATTCAGAGCCGCCGGTCTCCAAAGATTGGAACCAATTCTCCCAAGTTGGAACCATGGGTCCCAAATGCCAAGGAATGCCGATTCCCTAAAATTGAAATTATGTGTTGTAACTTGAAAACTTCGCGGTCCTGAATTCCCAAGGGTTGGAAGCTATGTTTCCGACTTTGACACGAGTCTCATTTCCAGGAAGTGCGATTGAGAAGGTTGTAACCTTGGCATCCGGTTGAACATAAACCTCTGCAATAAGCCTTTGTTGTTTTGCTTGATGGTCCGCCAAAAAGATGTTTATACATGCATTTTGTTTTTTACCGAATGCACATGTAAAAGACGTTGCGTGAAAAAGACGGCCATTGTTGTGTTTCTTGGGCCGGTATCAAAACAGGCACTTGTGGAAAAAAACAATTGCATATTGGACCGGCGTGAAACAGATGTTCTACAAAATAAGCGCTTTGTTTTGCTTATTGGTCTGGTACCACCGCTGATGACGGCAGAAAGAAGGCGCCTGAATGAACAAAACATATTGGCCAATCAAGTACAATAAGATATATGATATTATATATATATATATGGAAAAAAAACAGCGTTCGGTCAAAAAAACTTGTGACATGTGCTCACTAGCCCGACATCCAAAAAAAATATGCATCATAGAACGACCTAAAAAAAAATGCATTGTAAAACTGCGATTCCCAAGAATTAGTGGCTTCCCAGTTCTATAGCAACTGCTGGTTCCCAAACATTCGAACCTATGCTTCCCAATCTTCAAACCACGGGTTCCCAGTGCTAGCAACTAGAGGTTCCCAAACGTTGTAACCAATCCGCCCCAATGTTGGAACCACGGGCTCCCAGTTCGAGGAACTGCTGACTCCCAAACGTTTGACCCAATGCTTCCCAATCTTGGAACCAAGGGGTCCCAGCTCGAGGAACCGCTGGTTCCCAAATGTTGGAACCAATGCTTCCCAATCTTGGAACCCAGGTTCCCAGTTCGAGGATGTGCTGGTTCCCAGACGTTCAAACCAATCCTTCCCAATCTTGGAACCACGGGCTCCTGATGGCCCGCAAAAGTTGTAACCAATGCTTCCCAATCTTGGAACCACAGGTTCCCGGTTCGAGGAGGTGCTAGTTCCCAGACGTTCGAACCAATCCTTCCCAATCTTGGAACCACGGGTTCCTGGCTCGAGCAACTGACGATGGCCCGCAAAAGTTGTAACCAATTCTTCCCAATCTTGGAACCACGGGTTCCCAGCTCGAGGAAGTGCTGGTTCCCAAACGCTTGAATCAATGCTTCCCAACCTTGGAACCACGGGCTCCCAGTTCGAGGAACTGCTGGTTTCCCAAGCATTCGAACCAATGCTTCCCAACCGTGGAACCACAGGTTCTCAGTTCTAGGAACAAGCGATTCCAAAAGTTGAAACCAATCATTCCCAATCATGGAACCACGGGTTCCCAGCTCGAACAGATGATGGTCCGAAAAAGTTGTAACCAATGCTTCCCAATCTTGGAACCACGGGTTCCCAGCTCGAGGAACACAGGTTCTCAGTTCTAGGAACAAGCGATTCCAAAAGTTGAAACCAATCCTTCCCAATCATGGAACCACGGGTTCCCAGCTCGAACAGATGATGGTCCGCAAAAGTTGTAACCAATGCTTCCCAATCTTGGAACCACGGGTTCCCAGCTCGAGGAACTGCTGGCTTCCCAAGCATTCGAACCAATGCTGCCCAACCGTGGAACCACGGGTTCCCAGTTCTAGGAACGAGCCATTCCAAAAGTTGAAACCAATCCTTCCCAATCTTGGAACCACGGGTTCCCAGCTCGAACAACTGATGATGGTCTGCAAAAGTTGTAACCACAATGCTTCCCAATCTTGGAACCACGGGTTCCCAGCTCGAGGAACTGCTGGTTCCCAATCGTTCGAACCAATGCTTCCCAACCTTGGAACCACGGGTTCCCAGTTCGAGGAACGAGCGGTTCCCAAACGTTGGAACCTATATATATCCTTCCCAATCTTGTTCCCAAGCGTTCGAACCAATGCTTCCCAATCTTGGAACCTATGCTTCCCAATCTTGGAACCACGGGTTCCCAGCTCGAGGAACTGACGGCCCAAATGTTGGAACCAATGCTCCCCAAGCTTGGAACTATGTGTTTCGAGTCCTAGGAATTGCCGGTTGTTTCCAAGCTTGGAACCATGGATTCCGAGTTCCAGAAACCGTTTACTTGACTTGCAAGAATTATATACATGTTTTCAGGGCTGGAAGCTATGTTTCGCAGCTTGACATGTGTTTAATTTCCAGGAACTGCGACCCGCATGCGTTTGTGCAAAGCAAGGCGTATATTGAACGGATATGCATATCAAAAAACTAGACGACGGATGGCCTGAGAGTGTAAAGGAGCAGAGCCTTCTGGTGTTAGTATGGAAACACTATATTAGAAGACAATATATTAAAGATGTAAAAATAGGCAGACGAGAAGAGTAGCATCAAGACAATATATCACAAACACAAGAAAAAGTTTGCATCGTATCTTTCCTATAGTTTCTTCACACACAGAGCTTTTACACACAGACGCTTTTACACACAGACGCTTTTACACACAGAAGCTTGTACACACAGGCGCTTTTACACACAGACGCTTTTACAAACAGAAGCTTTTAAACAAAGAAGCTTTTACACACACCAAGAAGCATAGAGAAGCTTTTACACGCAGACCTTTTGACACCTAAAGACTTTTACACACACACACACAAACACACAAAGAGGCTTTTACACACAGACGCTTTTACACACAGAGGCTTTTACACACAGACGCTTTTACACACGGACGCTTTTACACACAAACACTTTTACACACAAACACTTTTACACACAGAGACTTTTACACACAGACGCTTTTGCACACAGAAGCTTTTACACACAGACGCTTTTACACACAGACGCTTTTACACACAGACGCTTTTACACACAGAAGCTTTTACACACAGGGACTTTTGCACGCAGACCCTTTTACACACAGAAGCTTTTACACACAGAAGCTTTTACACGCAGACGCTTTTACACACAGACGCTTTTACACACAGAGGCTTTTACACGCAGACGGTTTTACACACAGAGGCTTTTACACACAGACGCCTTTACACACAAACACTTTCACACACATAAGCTTTTACACAGAGAGACTTTTACACACAGACTCTTTTACACTCAGAAGCTTTTACACACAGACGCTTTTACACACAGACGCTTTTACACACAGACGCTTTTACACACAGAGGCTTTTACACACAGACGCCTTTACACAAAAACACTTTCACACACAAACACTTGCACACACAGAGACTTTTACACACAGACGCTTTTACACACAGAAGCTTTTACACACAGACACTTTCACACACAGACGCGTTTACACACAGACGCTTTTACACACATAAGCTTTTACACACAGGGACTTTTGCACGCAGACGCTTTTACACACAAACGCTTTTACGCACAGACGCTTTTACACACAGACACTTTTACACACAGACACTTTTACACACAGGCGCTTTTACACACAGACAGTTTTACACACAGACACTTTTACACACAGACAGTTTTACACACAGACACTTTTACACAGACGCCTTTACACACAGAGACTTTTACACACAGACGCTTTTACACACAGACGATTTTACACACAGACGCTTTTACACACAGACACTTTTACACACAAACACTTTTACACGCAAACTCTTTTACACACAAACACTTTGACACACTTGGGTTGCGATTGGACAAAAGGAATCGCAATTTTACCTCATGGCGATCGAACCTCATTTCGTGCAAAAGGGCTCGCGGGACAAGAGGGACGACTTGAAATCGCAGTTTTACCTCAGTTTTTGGCGATCGAACCTCATTTCGTACAAAGGGTTTGCGGGACAACTTGGAAATCGCAATCTTACCTCAGCTTTTGGCGATCGAACCTCATTTCGTGCGAAAATGTTTGGGGACAAAAGGGACGATTTGAAATCGCAATTTTACCTCAGCTTCTAGCGATCGAACCTCATTTCGGGCGAAAGGGTTGCGATGGGACAAGAGGAACCGCAATTTTACTTCAGCTTTTGGCGATCGAACCTCATTTCGTGCGAAACGGTTGCGCGGAACAACTTGCAAATCGCAATTTTACCCCAGGTTTTGGCGATCGAACCTCATTTCGTGCGAAAGGGTTTGCGGGACAACTTGGAAATCGCAATTTTACTTCAGTTTTTGTGGCGATCGAACCTCATTTCGTGCGAAACGGCTCGCGGGACAAGAGGGACGACTTGAAATCGCGGGGTTGCGTTTCGTGCCGTCTCGTTGACACTGCCCCGCGCCTTCAAGAGAGAAAGAGAAAAGAAGGAGAGGGCAAGAGGGCAAGAGGACAAGAGGAGAAGAAGATGTGAGGATGTGGAGATGAGCAGATGATATTATGATAGTGTTTTCACGCTGTGTCTGTGCGTGTTTCTGTCTTATCACATATTTAGTCGAAGAGCGTAACCATACTAATGATTTGACTCACGCTGCGTG